TATGTTTTTAGCCAGAAACTTCTGAAAGCTTTGATCATATTCCTTTATGATCTTATCAGCATTACTGGGAGCCTCTGAGATTATTTCCTTCTGAGAGTTTTGTAAATCATTTTCTAGTTTTGAAATCGTTTCTTTTAACTCAGAGTTTTCTGATCTCAGACTCTTAGTTTCTTCAGAGTCAGAAGCAAGATCCTTTTTCAAGTTCCTGAATTTGACTCGAAGCTGCTGATATCTTTCCAGAATTTCACTCAGACTTTCTCCTAGTTCAGCTTTAGTAAAATTAACAGTGAAATCAGGGAATACCTCTTCAGCGTCTGATTCTGATTCTGAAGATTCAGAGACATCTAATAAGTTGTCTGTTTGAGCTATATTGGCTTGTTCATATTCTGATTTTGTTCCGTCTTCAGAAGATTCAGAGTCATCCCATGTTTCCATAAGACTTTTCTTCTTCTCCTTAACGAACTTCCCTTTATGTTTCTCCTTTTGAAGCCTTGGACAATCAATTTTGTAGTGACCTTGTTTATTGCATTCATAGCAGGTAATGATTCTGTTACTTGATATTCTGTATCCAGAGGATTGTTCAGAGTCAATTCCTGTTCTTCTGGAGTTTCTGAAATTCTTTTGCTTGTGCTTCCACAACTGATTGATTCTTCTAGATAGCAAGGATAGTTCATCTTCTAATTCTGACGCAGATTCTTCAGAGTTTCCTTCTTCAGCCTGAAAAGCGTTAGTTTCATATTTTTTTAATTGATTTAAGGGCAACAGACTTACCTTTCTTCTGAGGCTCGTGCTCATCAAGTTCTATCTCATGACTTCTTAAAGCGCTGATGAGTTCTTCCAGAGACACGTTGTTAAGATCTTTTGATACTTTGAAAGCAGTGACCATAGGTGCCCATCTTCTGGGTAAACTTATGATGATCTTCTTAACGTGATCTACCTTAGTGTATCCCTTATTGAGAACTCTCAGGCCAGCAATCAGAGTTTGGAACCTTGAGAATATATCTTCTGTAGATTCACTTTCTTCCATCTTGAAGGCTTCATACTTCTAGATGAGAGCCAAAGCTTTAGTCTCCTTCACTTGAGCATTTCCTTCATGAGTCATTTTGAGAGACTCAAACATATCATGTGTTGTATCTCTATTTGTGATCTTCTCATATTCCATTTTAGAGATAGCATTTAGAAAGATATTTCTAGCTCTATGGTGATTTTTGAAATCAGTTTTTTGTTGTCTATCCATAATCTTTTTATCAATCTTGTTTCCTTCTGAGTCTATAGGATGTGTGTAACCATCCAAGACTATATCCCATAAATCACTATCATGACCTAGAAAGAAACTTTCTAGTCTATCTTTCCAATATTCAAAATCTTCTCCATCAAACACAGGAGGTTTGTTGTAGCTATTGTTATTTTTTTCAGTTGCCATTTGTGTTTTCTTTCTGGATCTTTTCCTGACACGGTTAAGTGTTGTGCTCAGAGTCAAGCTCCGATACCAATTGAAGGGTGAGAAAACACTTAGAAGGGGGGGGGGGTGAATAAGTTTCTCTTTTTCTTTTTCTTAAAGGCTCAACAAAAATGGAAAGACACAGTTATTTTTATCCTGGTTCGTTTGAACTCAAACTACTCCAGTCCACCCGCCAAGGTGATTTCGCCTTTCTCAAAAAGGACTTAATTCACTATAAACAACTGATTACAACCGCACAACCAAACTGTTGTGACTAACAATGCAATGCACAAGTAAACTTACAAGTGACTAACACCACTAAGACTCAAACTAGTCCTAGTCTTCTTGAGAAATTTGACCAAACTTGGTCTCTCAAGGAACAAATACTTCTTGAGAAATCTGACCAAACTTGGTCTCTCAAGGAACAAATACAAGAATTAAATCTTTACAGATAGTGAAACAAATTGCTTCTTAGAAATCTACATCACAAACTGTGATTTTTCACTAAGATTAGTTTTGCCCAAAGTGTTTGTAAAATGATTTGTGAGCAGCAGAATATTTTCACATAGTTTTCGCTCTTTTTGAATTGTTGAGTTGTTGAATATTTTCTCGTTGTTAGCTCTAGTTGCCTTGCAATAGATAATCTTCTATTTATAGCATGAAGAAAATGACCGTTGATGCCTTCAAAAGTGGAGAGCAATAAATGTTTGCGTGTTTGCTTGGAGTATTTCATTTTCTAATGAACTAGCATAGACACTTGAGTGTATGTAGCCTGCTTTGCATTAAATGAGCAAACGGCACTTTGTCAAAGCATGTTTCCTGAACCTTGACAAAACTTGTTAGATTCTTTATTCTTTCAGAACTAGCTTCACGTCTTGTTTCAGAACATGCTTGCATATCTTCTTATCAACGCTTGCATGCAGAAATCTTTTGAACATAGCTTCACGTCTTGCTTCAGAATATGCTTGCAATACTTCTTATCAGCGCTTGCATGCAGAAATCTTCTGAACATAGCTTCACGTCTTGCTTCAGAATATGCTTGCAATACTTCTTATCAGCGCTTGCTTGCTAAGTACTTATGAACATGGTTTGCATGGAAACTTGCTTAGGATTAGAAGATGCATTAAATAGTTTCTTATCAGAGTCAACATCTTTATTTTTTCAGAACTTGCGCTAAAACAAATAGTTCTTTCATCAAAGAACTTCTTCATTTATTTTCAGCTCAGCACGTCAAAATGATTTTCTTCTAAGATAATACTTTTGTCAGAACATTATCTGAAACAAATAAATATGCTCATCAGAGTATCAATTATATAAAATATATTTTATTGTTATCATCAAAACTATGAGGTATGATCAGAACCAATCTTGTTCTAACAAAATCCCCTTCTTTGAACACTCGAGGACGAACCTTCTTGTCGAATGCTTTCTTCATCCGCTTATGGTATAATTGACTGTGACACAAAGCTGTCAGGCATTTTTCTTCGGTGAGGTTAAGCTGATTGAGTCGTGTCTGAACCCACTCTGCTTCTTGTTTCTCCACGCACATGAGTAACACCATATCGTAGTTTCTTTTGTATAACACGTCACTACTCAGAAATAATTTTGAGGTTAGCTTCTGCAAAGTTCGCTTGTCAATTAAAACAACCAGCTGAAGATCATCAAACAATGAAGTCTACATCGAAAGTCTTTTATCCCACATAATGGAATAGGTAAACATCGAGAAAACCTAAGAAGGGAGAAGTCACGGTCTTGCAACCGAGAGATCGGGTAAAGGAGTCTGTTACGCGAAGGGAAAGTATTAGCACCCCACACACCCGTAGTACTCTACGGTATCCACTCTTGTTGTCTATATTATGGATGTGTTTAATATATGCTTATTTCTTACTATTGAAGAAGAATGCATGCAAAAGAAAGAAGAAAATAATGTAGGGAAAATAAATTTGTACTCGTTCGGGCCTTACCCTAATGCCTACGTATCCCTTTTAAGAAATCAGAGCAGTCGTAGTTCGGCTCAAAAGTTTATGTTGGTTTGTATTATTTAATGAACAATATTAATTTCACATTATACCACAGCTCAACCTTTGGAGACTCACGTGTTAGCACAAAAGTGAATTAACATGTTATTTTGAAAAAGTTTGAAAGAAAAGCCCGAAGGCGCAAAAAGTTTGTATTGGTTGATATCTTTTATCTTAAAGAAGGATTTGAAAGTTGTTAGATGTTTTATGCCTTTTTCCAAGAAAAGAGTTTTAGTCTTAATGCAAGGATGCAAAAGAAAGAAAAGAAACTAAGGGAGACTATCTAAAATATAATTCCTAATGTTATCATACAATGATGGACCTAAGATTGATTTTGAAAGGGAAATCTCTATCCTATGTTAGCATTCATGGATACCTATCCTAATGTCTAGCTCAAAAGCTACTATAATCGAGTAATCATAAGGGAAGCATGATATAACAAACAAACAAGCAAACAAGTGATTTGGCAAAAGCACACAACCATGAGTAGGACATACTGGCTCCAAGAGATGAGGGAAACAAGAGAAATGCTTTAGCTAAGGGGAGCAGATCAACCAAAGTAAACAAGCGGGAGACATATGAAATAAAGACCCTTTCCTCTCGCCTCCTTTTGAGGACTTTAATAAGGGGTAGGGGAAAAGATGCAAGCACAAATGTAAACACACGTGCAAAATACCTACTTTAAAGGTTTGATTTTAAACAAACACAAATAACATACAAAAAGCGGTGCCTGCTACAAGACTTTAAACAGTGACTTCGAGCGCACAATCTTTATTTCCTACTTCTCATGATATCTAGAAAGCAGTAAAGTTTCCACTTCTCATGATATCTAGAATGCAATAAAGTGCTGAAATGAGATAACGAGAGAAAATACCAAACGGATATCAATCCGTAGCAAAGCTTATCAAAACAAAGAAACCTGACGATCTTCGCGAAAACTTCACCAATCAAAGAAAAGAGTCAGTAATCAAATGCTCAGAATAAGTGTCAAAGCACCATCAATGTGAAAATAAATCACAATCGAAATCTCAAGAGCATCCACATATCACACAATAAACCTGCAGAAGACTCAGATCTCAACAAGAAAAGGTGAATTACGAATTTCAAGTAATTGGATAATCGTGATTTAATTCCTAAGCATATCTCCTAAAATCTTATATTTTTTATTAATATTTTTTTGTTACATAAATATTTTGTATTAACAAAATTGTCATCTAACAATTATAAAAAGAAAAAAAAACTAAAGAAAAACTAAAAAAAGCTACACAGGGGGATGTGAGTCCGGAAACAAGTGGTGTGAGCTAAAAACCAGGTGTTAGGCCCATTTACTATGATACATAAAGAGGTTTTTGTAGCACAAGTTAACAGACTGCCAAAAACCATCGAGTGGGCTTATGGAGCAATAGCATGGTCTAAGGTCCATCAACAAAACATTCCAGCCTTTATGTTTTTTTAAATTTTTTATTCATATTTTTTTGTTATTTGAAATAAATAAATAAAACAAAATGAATTACAACGTGACATTAGGGTCAAGTTGTGTGATGATTGAACTTCCTCTGAGCACAGGTGTTCTTATCCCTTGTCAATCCAAAACGCATTGGTTCAATACCTCTCTCCGTCCTTCATCCTGCTTGACGGTGCGATCTGCTCCTTCTCAGTAAACTCGATCCATTCTCATATTCCTCTCACCTCGTCTTCGCTTCCACCGCTTCGTTCACCATCAACCACGGTTGAGCCGTGTGAATCGCAGACTCAGACGAACTCGTGATTGGATCTCTATGCTTTAATTCATGTAGTCGATATAGAAAAGAGGAAATTAATCAAAGATTGGAGGAAATCACGACTTACCTACCGGGGAGAAGTCCGGTACTCTTTCAAAGGTGTCGACGTTGCAAGAAATCCAGATAATCCATGTTTTCCAGGTACAAAGCTTATGCTCTTTCTCCTTTTTAAAATTTTGCTTTCAATTTTCTTCTTCTCGCTTCTGCTTCGTATTATTCTCTGTTGTTGATCTTACGTGGGTTGCAATGATGTGATCGTTGAAACGGTTTGCTACATGTTATTGTTGTGGTCGCAGAAAGAAGTTATGATAGGGAAGACGTAATGATGAATGAAAGGTTGTTGAAGAAGTGTGATGACGATCAAGACTTGTAGAGCTTGAGAGATGCGCCTTTGAGATGGTGTCAGCTTCTGAGGGTTGTAGAGTTGAAGAATGATGAAGCATGAATGTGTTGAGAAGAAGATTGTAGTGAAGAATGAGGTGCAATGGTGATGAAGAGAGTAGAGAGAAAGATTTTTGGTGATTCTGTTGAAGATTGAAGAATGAACGTGATGGTAATGAAGAGTGAAGATTGGGAGTGGAAGAAGAGAGAGTTTTGGAGAGTGATCCTTCTGTAGAATTGAAGAATAAATCGATGCATGGTAATTTTCTGTTATTATATTCAATTACTCTGATAGAAAAGTAAGTTACAGTTTATTGAATCTAAACCTTTGAATATGAAGTTTGTTACAAGGATTGGAGGGATGAGATTGATCTGATATGAGTTTAGATATGGTTGTTTTGCTGAGTTGGAATTTTGCTTTTGTTAATTGTAAACTCACAGTTTTCTTCATTCTTTATATTTTCCGATTTTATATTCCTGATTTTCTATTACAGAGTGAAGTAGTATGGTAATGCAATGACTTTGAATGCAGACTTAATTCCTCCTTTCTTTTTGTACAGGTTCAGCCATACAGATGCATGAAGAATAAGGTGAACTGGGTCTGTTAGGTACGAATTTGCACCGTTATATTTTCTCGGATGAACACCACTTGATTATAATAAGAAGAACGCCTCAGATAAAAACCAAACCAAGCTTAATCACAAAGGATTAGAAACCCTTGTAACTTGATGAAGAAAAGATCCACAACAACTTGGAATCAAAATCCTAATTCCATACTTCACTGCTTGAAGAACCAGAAGAATCAGAATTATTCGTTGTATACACCTCAAAACCAATAGAACCCTTGTTTGCACAATCATTGATCTTTTTAACCAAAAGTGCCTTTGTGAATTCATGTATGTTATGCAAATGATATGTTAATGACCTAATGAAAATATGTGAATGTGATGCTAATCCTAAGTCAGATACAAGAAATTAGGAAGGAAAATTTTAGGGTGAAACATCAATGATAGAGGCATTTTATGGATATTCATATTTCTCAAGGTAGCTCTTGATGTCATAGAACCAAGGCTTGTTATCCGGTCCCTCTTCAATAGCAAGGAAATGAGCAGGCTCTTCAAAATATCTGATTGTAATGTGTGGTTCATAGTTTGGCCAAGTTATTTTGAACATGGCAGATAAAGTTACTAAGGCGTCCGCCATCTGATTTTCTTCTCGTGGGATATAACTAGAAGTGATCTCAATGAATTTTGTAGCTAGCTTTAAAACATGATCCCGATATGGAATAAATTTGGGGTTCTTAGTGTCCCATTCATCATTGACTTGGTATATGACTAGCGCAGAGTCTCTGATTACTTCGAGATGTTTGATTCTTAGATCGATAGTAGCTTCTAGACCCACAATAAAAGCTTCATATTTGGTGATGTTGTTGGTGCAGTCAAAACATAACCTTGCAGTATATGACTTGTGAAAATTGCTCCAATGTCGTGCCCTAGTGCATTTGAAGCCCCGTCGAACATGAGTGTCCAACGTGCCCCTGGTTCAGGTCCTTCGTCAGGCCCTGGTATTTCGTAGTCACCTATAACCATGACATCTTCGTCTAGAAAGTCGAACTTCATTGGTTGGTATTCTGGTAATGGATGATGAGCTAAATGGTTAGCTAATATGTTTCCCTTGATGGCCTTTTGAGTAAAGTATTGGATGTCGTACTCTGATAGTAGCATTTGCCATCGGGAAATCCTTCCAGTGAGAGATGGTTTTTCGAACAGATACTTTAAAGGATCAATTCTTGCTATTAACCATGTGGTATGAGTTAACATGTATTGCCTCAATCTTTTAGTAGCCCAAGCCAATGCACAACAAGTTTTCTCGAGAAGTGAGTACCTGGTTTTGCAGTCAGTAAATTTCTTGCGGAGGTAGTAGATTGCATGCTCTTTTCTACTCGTTTCGTCATGTTGTCCCAATACACATCCCATTGATCCTTCAAGCATTCTCAGATACATGATTAGTGGTCTTCCAGGAACTGGTGGTATTAAGATCAGTGGCTCTTGTAAATATTTCTTTACTACATCAAAAGCTGTCTGGAAATCATTATTCCATACCACCGTCTGATCTTTTCGCAGTAATTTGAATATAGGCTCACATGTAGCAGTTAGGTGAAATTTAAACCTTGAAATTTAATTCAATCGTCCTAAGAAACCATGAACCGCTTTCTCTATCCTCGGAGCTGGCATTTCTTGTATGGATTTTACCTAGTCGGGGTCTACCTCAACGCCATGCTGACTTACAATAAAACTCAGTAACTTTCCTGACCTGACACCAAATGTACACTTGTTTGGATTCAACCTTAGTTTGAACTTTCGCAGACGTTAGAATAGCTTTTGTAAATGTATGATGTGATCCTCCTCTATATGACACTTGGCAATCATATTATCTATGTACACCTCAACCTCTTTGTGAATCATATCATGGAATAGTGTGACCATAGCCCGTTGATAGGCTGCCCCTGCGTTCTTCAGACCGAACGACATTACCTTGTAATAGAAAGCCCCCCTAAGGTGTCATGAAATTAGTCTTTTCCATATCTTCGGGTGCCATTTTGATTTGATAATAGCCTGAGAAACTGTCCATGAATGAGAATACCGAAGCTTGGGTTGTATTGTCCACCAAAACATCTATGTGAGGTAACGCGAAATCGTCTTTAGGTCTTTCTTTGTTCAGATCTCGATAAGCTACACACATGCGTACTTTTCCATCCTTCTTGGGTACTGGCATGATATTATCTATTCAAGGTGGATAATCTACCACCGCTAAGAACCTTGTGTCAAATTGTTTAAGGATATCTTCTCGAATCTTATTGGACATGTCAGGACGAGTTCTTCTGAACTTTTGCCTAACTGGAAAGCAACCTTCCTTGAAAGGTAGTCAATGCACCACGATATATGTATCCAATCCTGGCATATCCCTGTAAGACCAGGAAAATATATCCACACACTCATGTAACAACTTGATCAGCCTTTCCTTGACGCTTTTCTCTAATGTCTCCCCTAGCTTGATCTTTTTCGAATCTTCTTTTGTGCCAAGGTTAATGGTCTCAATATATTCCTGTTATGGTTGTATATTTTCAGCTTTTTGCTCTATCTCCCTCGGCAATTCCTTAGAAAGTTCAAGATCTTCATCATCTTCCTCTTTCGCTTGGTTGATGGGTGCATTAAAATTATATCGGATAGAAGCAGTAACATTATCAGTGATTTTGGGTATGAATCTGCACAATTATCATGTTTTGGTGCAATTTTTAGTATGTGAATTTGGAAAATGCATATGAAGAAAAGTATTTCCATTTTTAAATATAAGAGATAAATGCAAGAGAAAGACATGGATCTTAATTGAATGCAAAATATAACTTTTATTAATTATGAATAATATCTGAAACAAATTGAGGAACCCTTACAAGCAACCCCTATGCCTCGGGCTTGACATATGTTCTTTCAAAACAAGAAAAATTACTTTGGAAAGAAAAAGATATTCGAAATCTCCATAGCTGTCCAATTCATGAGTTCTTCGCTCAGGGCACATTCATGGATGAAATCAGATGCCTTTTTTATGTTACTCTTGTTATATATCATTGCCACATGTCCACCATGCTCTACTCCTTTGTTGACGAAGGTCTCTTAGATTGGAGGAAATCGTGCTTTGCCTTTCAGAGTAGCCTTTGATAATTCATAGCCCAACCCAAAAGGATTCTTCTTCTCATGTATTTCCGGGAGCTTTCCCCAACCCTTTGAAGCACCACTTTCCACCACTATTTGAAAATCTCTCGACAAATATCTCCATCATTGAGACAACATCTAAGACTTGAAATGGTGTAGCTATACAGTCTTCATCCGCACAGATATACATATAGGATTCTATGTGACTTACAAAGATGTCCTCTTCACCATTGATTATGACCAATCTTCCTTTAATGAAGAACTTCAGTTTCTGATGTAAAGTTGAAGTGACTGCCCCTGCTGCATGAATCCAGGGTCGCCCGAGTAAACATGTATATGTTAGTTCTATATCCATGACTTGCAAAGTGATATAGAACATATGTGGGTTGATCTTGACAAGAAGGTTCACTTCTCCAAATACTGAACTTTGAGAACCGTCAAAAGCTTTAACTATTGTAGAAGTGGGCCTTATTACAACAACATCTAGCGTTAACTTCATCAAACTAGATTTTTGTAATACATTAAGGGAAGAACCAGTATCGGTGAGTACCCTAGACAGGCTTGTAGTACCTATTTGAATGGAGATATGCAATGCCTTATTGTGAGCTCGGCCTTGTGGAGGTAACTCACTGTCATTAAAACCCAGATATAATCCAGACGTCTGATTTCCTAAAACATTGTCAAATTAGTTTACAGTAATTTCTTCTGCGACATGAGCAGAACTTAGAACCTTCATTAGTGAGTCTCTATGCGCTTCCAAATTAATGAGCAACGAGAGTATATAAATTTTGGCTGGGGTTTGGTGAAGTTGATCCACCACCCTATAATCACTTCTTTTGATTATTTTCTAGAATTCTTCTGCCTCTTGCTCAGTAATGTTCTTGCTCGGAGGCTCTTGTTCTTGACTTGCTTCCACCACTGCTTTTCCTTTGTCTTTTATTAATGTATCATCTTTATTTTTCACCATATCATCATTCTTCTTTGGCGGTTCGAAGGCAAAGATTGGACCACTACGGTTTATGCCCCTTGTTCCTGCTATATTTGAGATTGCAGGTCTTTGACTTGATGATGGCTCACATTCCTTTTTTAAGGGATTGACGTATACAGTCGAATCATAACTCCATGGTACTGCTTTATCGCTTGTGTAAGGGGTATGAGATGGCCCCCATATTGCCACTGTAGTCTTTGGAACTACTAGTATCCTCAGAGTTTGACTTGGTGTTATCATTGGTGTTTCTGTCGATTCTTCCCATGGAATCACAAGAGTCTTCTTATTAAGGTT